TTCTGTTATAAAATTGGAAGAGCTGTAGCCAGTGTTGATTGCTGTAAGAAGTCCTGACATAACATGTTGTTTTGTAAGGTTAAGGAAACAAAGGTCTGCTTATTGGCAGTGCTCAGTGCTGGCTCCTTTATTTCATAAGAAGGTATGTGTTTCCTAGTATTCATTGTAGAATATTTTTAAAGTATTTTATTTGAAAGAGAGAGAGAGAGAGAGAGAGAGAGAGAGAGAGAGAAAGAGAAAGAGAAAGAGATCTTCCTTCCTCTGGTTCACTCTGCATTTGGCCACAATAGCTGGAGTTGAGCTGATCCAAAATTGGGAGCCAGTAGCTTCTTCCAGGTTTCCCATCCTGAGCAGGAAAGAATCAAAATAAAGGAAGATCTTTATATTTGCTTCTCATACTACTAACATCAGATTGCTTGATTCCTGCAAAAGGTTTAATTGTTACCTCTGGGTTGGGTAGATAGCTGTCTTTTGGTATTTGTTCAATGTGCTTTTCCTACCTAAATGTGCTTATAGTGCCACTCACCTAATCTTAAGTGCAGCACTATGGCCTGCTAACAGTGATTGTCTGAGATCATTTTTTCAGGGAAAGAAATGTGTTTCAAGAAGGGTTATGTGGAATCTCTGATTATAGTGTGCAATGTTGGAGCAAGTAGAGGTTAATGAGAGTCTTCCCACATTTCCCATCCCTCAATGTTTAAAGGACATAAATGAAAATTACATGAAAAGGCAAGGCTTTGACAAGACTTTCACTCCTTGAAAAGAATATTTGAGTTGCACTTCACAGAGGCACAACGTTCCTACCTTGCTATAAAGGCAGAGAGGGATGACACATAAGAGAAAAGAAACTATTATCCCATATGATGAGATAAATGATAAGACTTAGGTCCAATATTGATCAGTTTGTTTAATTATTACTAGAAAGCATGTATGAAAGCCTCCAGTTTATCTCCTTTTTGATAGGAGATTAAAGGAACTCCATCTAAAATTAAATGTGACAAGTAACAACATCCTAAAATCCCTTTTTTTCCACAAGCCCTTTCTTTCTCAACCTTGTGTTAGGTACTTGGAAAGTTTTAATAACTTTGAGGGATTGTGTTGGAGTTCATTGTTCCATTTTATCTGATGTCTTCATAAAAGAGGTAAATACAGATCTTTATGAGAAGATAGAGGGACTTTCCTCAATCATCTTTGGATGGAGCTAATTGTTTTTTGGAGGAGGGTTTGATTTCTAATCTGCTACATTTCTAGGACACGGATCTTTAATGGAGCACTACTAATATTTCTCAAAGGATTAGATTGTGCATGTAGGCTAAATAAGTTGTGATTCTTAATTCATTGCTTCAAGTGTTTTTTATGTTAACAATTTTGAATGTGCCAGATGATCTCACTTTCTGACCCAAATGAAAGATGCTTTTTAATAAAGAGGGAATACAAAGCAACTTGACTTATGCTAAAATTCTGAAGTTCAGTTAAGCTTTGGAGTTTGGAAAAGCAATTTCAAGAACAGTAAATCGTAGGAGTTAATATGATGATGACAGTGATGTTGTTGAAGTCAAGAGTGTGAAGGTACTTATGGGGAAAATCATGAAAATAGTAGATAGCAATAAGTTTTACATCTTGAAATGAAGACTCAAAATATCAACTCTTTCTTTTAAGACAAAGTTTTGCTATCTATAATTTGTTTTATAAAGTTCAACATATTAAAACTGCAGATAAAGAGCTCAAATTAATATTGAAATCTCATAACAACCACTTTAAAAGTAGACAGTATTCTGAAATTTTTTTTAAGTTTTGTTTTTGTTTTTATTGGAAAGTCAGATAATACAGAGAGGAGGAAAGACAGAGAGGAAAATCTTCCATCTGCTGTCTCACTCCCCAAGTGGCTACACCAGCCAGAACTGAGCTAATCTGAACCCAGGAGCTAGAAACTTCTTTCAGGTCTCCTGCATGGGTGCAGAGGCACAGGGGTTTGGGCTGTCCTTGACTGCTTTACCATACCACAAGCAGGAAGCTGGAGGCTAAGCAAGGATACTGGGACACGAACTGGTGCCCATATTGGATCCCAGCAGAGACAAGACAAGGACTTGAGCCAATAGGCTACCGTACTGGGACCTGAAATTCTTAATTACTGGCTGTCCAGCATCATCTCTTCAGTAACTGAGTATTCCTACCATTGTGCCAAACTCCACATAAACTATAAGAAAGAGAATCTTCTGAAAAGAGCAATATTTGGAGTAGGCAAAACAGGAAGGTGTTTGGGACAATCAGTGTGCTTGTTTAAAGGCTCACTACACTGCTTCTGATCCAGCTGCCTGATAATGTGCACACAAGGAGGCCACAGGTAATGGATCCTGAACTTGGCTTCCTGTCACGCATCTGAGAGACCTGGGTTGAGTTCTGGACCCCTGAATTCATCCTGGCCTAGTCTTGACTATTGTGGGCATTTGGGGAGTGAAGCAACAATTATTTTTTTTTTTTTGTGCATGTTGGTTTGTTGTGAAACAGGCGTTTTGGATATATTCTTAGGAGTGCTATTGCTGGATCATATGGTATGAAGATTTTGAGTTGTTTAAGTGTTCTCCAGACTGATTTCCATAAAGGCTGTACCAACTTGCAGCTCCACCAGCAGTGGAGTAGGGTTCCCTTTTCCCCACATCCTCGCCAACAAGTGTCGTCGATGTTCTTTTTTATGTGGGCCAATCTTACTGGTGTTAGGTGGTACCTTATCGATGTCTTAATTTGGATTTCCCTTATTGCCAGGGAACTGGAGCATTTTTTCATATGTTTGTTTGCCATTTGGGCTTGTTTCTTTGTGAAATGTTTGCCCATTTCCCATGAAGCAACAATTGAAAGCTTTTTATCTGTCTACCTTCAGGTAAAATAAAAATAAACAAATAAACTAAAAATATAATAATGAATATGCATTAGTGGTAGTTGTTGTTAACCAACATTAAGTTATCTAATTATTAATTAAATGGGCAAGGTGATTTATTTTAATATTTCCTTATAGCATAGTTATTTTTGTTATTGACATTTGTATAGATGATTTTTTAGCATACAAAACGTGCTCAATGTAGAACATTTTTTGTATTTATAAAGGAATAAAGAAAACATGTAATTCGGTGAGCAGATGTAAGCAATGTCAACATTTTATTAATTTACTTATGCTTTTGCTTCAAGTAATAATGGTGTGTCCTTTAGTCACCTCCTTCACTATTACTGCATCTGTTAGAGCTGTTGCCTCCTTTTTCACCCACACTTTACTCATAGTCACATTATGTCATCAGTATACACATACAAACATTTGCTAGCTTGGTAATTTTTAATGCCATTTTAAATCTGATAAAATATGGATTTGAAAAAGTTAAGACAAGCAGCTTAGAGTTTTGTGAATGACAAGGTTAGCTTAGAACTCAGAGGCAGTGTCAAAATAGTTTTTCCCATTTCATTACAAAATATTTTCTTACTATGAATAATAAGCCTGCATTCTCCCCTTTCATTTGCGAGAAGTTTGAGAATCTTACCCATGAGATTAATAGTATTCATAAACATTTTTATAATTGCAACATAACAATTTATCCTAGGAATATGCTTCATAATATTTGTTTTTCAGTTGTTTTATACGGACGTACACATTTGTATTTCAAATGAGCATGTATCACTTATAACTAAATCAGTGTAAGGCATAATATGTGAAGGGTAGGGCAGCCAAACTGAGATTGAGATAGATTACAAAGTCCCAGAAATGAACATGGAAAGCCAGCTCTTTAGTGCCTCTTTTTATTATTTTCTGAAACCCACTTGCTAAGAAAATGTGTCTAAAAGATAGCTTCTGTTCATGTTTTTTTAAAAAATTAATACTTGTAGTTATAAAATCTCTAATGTATTGTTGTTGGTGCCTTTGTTTCTACAAGCCCAGTTTCCAAATTCTATCATAACTCTGTCTTCTTCCTCATAAAGTACCTCTTAATATTCCCTCCGTTTTGATTTTGCATCCTTATGAAATCATTTAGAACTATTTAAATGTATCACAGCATTGTAGCTATAGGCAAAGGCGGAAAATGTAGTATCATATTAAAAGGTATGTATTTCATTGTTGTTTTGTGAAGTTTTTAGCACAATAAATACAATTAGCACCATCTTTTAAGTTGTGCAAAATTGTCTTCATCATGGCTGAATCACAATTACAGAATTTGTAAATATCTTTCCTCCTAACTGTTTGCATTAAACCCGTATCTAAATCGTGTTGAATGTTGCATTTGAGCAGAGCGTTATCTGCGAAGTTACCTCAACTTAAACTACTTCAGGAAGAAAATATTCTATAAAAAAGCTTGAGTTGTGGCGAAAGAACTATCCCATTTCTACCGGTTGTTCCATTAGCTAATTAAGGATCTCGTTTCTAACAAATTTCATCCAGAATGTTAACACTCACTGTATACCTGGCATCAGAGTAGACACTAAGCATGCAGAAGTAGGCAACCAATTAAAGACAATTCCTATTCTCGCAAAGCATACACTCTAGTGAGAAAAGAACACACGGAAATAAGTAAGCAAGCTGTATTTTTAAAAATATAATTGCTTACGTTGCAATACATGACTGATTTTTTAGCAGAATAGTATTCATTCCATAAGATCCTTTTGTATTTTGTTCACACTTTTTCTTCAACTAATTTACAGGCTTCATTTTTTTTAATGTTATCCACTAGTTTTCCTAAAACCCTGTGGATATTAGAAGTGTAAAACAAAATGCAATCATATGGTTTATTTTGTTTGTTGACAACTAGTTTACTAAATAATGCTTCACTTAAAGGAAAATTCTTTGATGCCTATTCCACTGCCATAGAACTGCTTTGTCCTCTGGTATTTCAGACAATTTTGAATTTACAATAAGAAAATGCTTTTGTAGTGTGCCAGAGTATTGTGTAGCTCTGCTAGACCTTACTTATTATGAAAACACGTGTTCTGTGTGCCAGTAATGTCTCCTTCTCTTGCCATAGGTCCAAGGATCTTATAAAGGAAGCTATCCTTGACAATGACTTTATGAAAAACTTGGAGCTGTCACAGATCCAGGAGATTGTGGATTGTATGTATCCAGTGGAGTATGGCAAGGACAGCTGCATCATCAAGGAAGGAGATGTGGGGTCACTGGTGTATGTCATGGAAGGTATGGTTTGTAACCCTGATCCTCTCACATTCAAATATTCCTTATTTCCATCTTATCAGCCTACACAAAGATGGTAATGCATTATGTGATGCAATTTCATTTTTCTTCATCTTGTTTGGAAACAGTCTGAAAAGAGATGAAGCACTACTTAGATAGAATGTTTGACTAATTATATGAATGATACTATTATATGTTTAGTATATTAATATGAGAATCCAATATTTTTAGACATGGGAAAGATGATAATATAAAGACAGAAATGCTACTTACTATGCTGAATAAAACCATGTTCTGACAGGTCACTGAGCAAACTCAAAAATTTCAGTGAGAGTTCATGAACATGGTTAGTGTTTTTTGATCAGAAAATCAATGTCTTTAACTTCTGACTTTAAATATATGATGAGCTGTTCTTCTGTGACAATATGTAAAGAAATCTGATATCACTTGTGTATAGTAGAGGCATATAAAAAAGATGGGTGGGCATATGAGTTACCTAATTAATAAGAGAGGTAGCTTGTTTCATAAAACTTGCACAAGCTGAGATAAAAGCTTTGGTGGAAAAAACTGAGAAATGAATTGCATAGGTAGGTTTTATGTCTGTCAGTTTTCATGGTGCCAATTTACAACTTGAAATTTATAGGAGTTTTGTGTGTGTGTGAGTGAGAGACAAAGAGAGAGAGAGAAAGAGTGAGAGAGAGGGCAAGAGAGAGAGAGAGAAAGGATGAAGAAAAAAGAAGTTTCACATGATGACTAAGCCAGCTAAGAAGAAAGTTCAAACTTTGTGTACTATCAAAGAGTTGGCACATGAAAACTGAAGTTGATTTGTTACGTGATGGCTGATGTTTTTATCCATGTGCTCAAGACATTATTCTATAATTGAGAAGTTTATAGATCCTTAAGAGTGGGGGATGTATTTGAGCAAGTGTCTTAATTTTTGAGTTGCATGTACCTTTTTTTGAAAGCTAAGGTGCTGGTTTTTTTTTTTTTTTTTTGTCAGCAATTCTTAACTGGTAATGATTTTGTTTCCCAAGGTATATTTATCCGTTTCTTGTCATGTGTGGGGTAAAGATTGTGTAGTGAGGGATTTCCAGAACAAAGCAGAGATGCTGCTTAACAAGGTAGTTAATAGAACCAAGAACAAACTGGCCCACTGCATCATTAGTGCTGACCTTGCAAGTCTCTCTGCTTTGTGCCTTCTTTGCAGAAGTTAGAAATGAAGGTGAGATCGTTTGTGTGGATGTTTGATAAAGCAGCATGAAATTGTAAATGTTGTTTCTGCTAAACGCTTGCTAGTATACCATTATAAGGCCTATTATTTCTGCATTTTTCTTTTCCGTTTTAATTTTTCATGTAATCCTTTTGGGCATGTGATAGACACTCAGTTCTCAAGGAGTGGTTTTAGCATTTGTTTTCTTTATACTTTTCACTTCTAATGTTAGTATCATAAAGTTCTTCCCCAGGCCAAGAGGCTATAAATATTCAGTTAGGGCATTCATTTGGCAAAACCAAAACACAATAATGAAAGAACAAATAGTGTACATTTAGGAAGGAGTTTCAAAAAAAAGGAGATGAAATTATAGGGCAAAGTTGCATGGCAATAACCAGGAAAGATGAGAACTATAGGAGAAATAGTTTAACTACAGAATATAAAAATGATGCAACAAATTAAGAACTGGTAGTAATAAGAAACCATGTTTTAAATGTTTTTTTTTACATTTTAAATTTTATTAACATAAAAAGAACAGGTTTTTTACATAAGTTTCCTCACTTCCCTGCTTCCCCCAATAAGCTTCCCTTCATTCCTTTTCTATAGAAGTGTTTGCAGTGTCATATGTTTAGTCTATTCCATATTCATGGACTTCATTTTCCACTAATCATAATATTCAACTAGAAAAACACATTTCCTCTGGAGCATAAATATGGGTTACAATGAACAATCCTGTCCCTAAGTGACCATTTCATTCTTAAATTTTCTGTTTGTGCTCTGTATTAGCTGCCACATGTTAAAGAAAACATATAGAATTTATCTTTTTTGAGACTGGCTTACTGTGCTAAGCATGATGATTTCCAGTTGCATCCATTTTGTTGAAAAAAACAGGATTTTATTCTTTTTTATGACTGAATTGCATTGTCTTCATGTATATCAGGTATGCATACATATATGTATATATTTCATGTATGTATACATATATTTGTATGTATATCATATGTATATACATGCCACATTTTCCTTATCTAGTCATCTATTGATGGGCATCTGAGTTGATACCATATCCTAAATATTGGGCATTGAGCTACAGTAACATGAGTGTGTAAATGACTCTTTCATATGTTGATTTTATGTCTTTTGGGTAAGTTCTCAGGAGTAATTGGCTGGGCTATATGATATGTTTGTTTTTAGATCTATAATTAACCTCTGAGATTATGGTGTATCTGGGACTAAATATGCTTTACCTTACTAGAGTTTGTATTGGCAGTCATTTTTCTAAGAAGAATGCCATCATATAAATGAAGAATACTTTTATTTTAGCCTGTTTTTAAATTCTAATTATTGATTTTTTACTTGAAAAACAAACATGAAAATTCACTGATTTCATTCTTTCTTCATCTTGAATATTTCTTACAAATATAGATTTTGAGCAACTCTGAATATACTCCCAATAAATTTTGTTAATCATACCATCTTTGTTTGCTGGACTTATGTGCAAATTTTCTGGCTATTTTCAAAGGAGCTTGGAACTAACAGTAAATATGTAAACAATGCTTAACACTTAACTGTGTAATTTCTAAGTATTTTTCAAATACAAAATGTGCTGAAACCTCAGGTAATTCCGTAAGGTGGAAGCTGACATATTTACCCTCTTTCCGGCTGAGACTGAGACACACAAGGTTATGTATTTAGCACGGGTCTCCCAAGAGTTTAGATTTTGAATTTATAGCTGGTTTATTTAGAATTCATGTTCTTCACTGTTGGGCTATGTCACTGTATTACCCAGTACAATATGTATGTATGTACAGGGACAAAAAATTGTCTTCAGAAACTGGCTTACCTGACTGGAAACCAAGAGAGAGCTCTTGTTGCATGTCACGCTTGGAGTTGTTTACGGGACCAACTGCCTTCCGGGGAGAAGTCAATGTTTTGTCCATCTAGCCTGATTAAATGGGTCACACCCACGCTTTGGAGGGCAATCAGTTTTTCTCAGCATCTACTGATTTAAATATTAATCTCATTCAGGAAACATTTTTATAGAAACAAGCAGAATAATGTTTGATTATTTGATCTCATGCTGTTGCCATTGATGCACAAAGTTACCCATTAAAAGTCCACTTCTTGTCAATTGGATACTTCTACATTTCTTGTTAAATAAAACTTAATATTTAAATAAAAGCAATAAGAAGTTTTTAATCTTGCTTACCATAATGCAGTGATCCAGTGTATGACGAAAAATATGCTACCCGTTTCCATAGGACAAGATTCAAAATCTTTGGGTATAGTTTACTCATTTCATGGATATCTTATAACTTGTTGTGTCTTTGACAATACTATGATATAAAGTCAGTGTATCTTGGCAACATAAGGAAAATGACATACAGATAAAAATCAAAGGCATTTTTATATGTGCACAGATATGTATACACAGATATACATACAGGAAGGATCTTTTATTTTGAAAATAATTTTTATTTTAATTCCATGTATACATGAAGTTTTAGTTGCCTTCACATAGATACACACAGCACTATTATATTCACAGCACAACAAAGAAGAAATACTTGTGACCATCATTAATTCTTTAGGTAAAAAGGAAATATACTAAATTTTTCTCATTGCTTTAAGAAAAATTTTACGAATTATATTTATCTTGCTTTTATTGCTAAATTGACTAAAAAGTTTCCATCTTAATTACCTCTTAAGAAACCTGTTTTAATTACCCTTTTACAAACAAAGTGCCAAATAACATATTAATATTCATAGTCAAAGATTTTGCATGATAGTGATTGCCTAAAGCTAAAAGTCAGTGAATTGACCACATCTTAACAAATGCTGGTTTTCTGTTAAATAAGTCTGGCTAACTGAATGTAACTTCAGCAGATAGCGCACTTTTATCCTTATGTCAAAGCAATTTAAAATAAAAAGCTCCATCACCTAAGTTTTTCCAAGTTTTGAGAAAATTTTATTTTGCATATTGTTTTGTCAATACATTCAGTTGTCTTCACATTTAGATAGCAGTGTTCTTGAAAGAGATGGGCTCATGTTCCTGTGTGAACATTAATATTTATAGAGAGTATATCATAGCAACAATGGATAAAGATCTTTTGCAGACTTACTATGAAGATACTGAGCAAAGCACCCAGAAAGTTTCTTAGAAAACTAGCCTAGAAAATGAGTCCAATTTTTCATATTTCTTCTTACTGAAATGAAGTGGTCTTTGTGAAATGCTTGCCATGTGCTTTTAGTACTTTTTTTTAAGCCTGGGCAGTATCTCAAATGTTTTTGCATATCTAAATACCAAAGTTTCTCATGGCTTTAACAAAACACAATAGTCATTTGGATGAACTTGACTAATTAGATGACAAGGGGGAAGAATAATCTAAGGGTACTGAACATATATTATTATGAGTTTCTTGTTAGAAAATGAGCCATGTTGCTTTTGTATACTTAACAGCTGTTGAGTAGAGAAGTTTAAATTCAATTTTTGTTAGCATTCTTTAGAATTAGTTTCTTAAGACAGTAATGTAAGCAGATTAAGGTGTTTAAGATTCTACTTAAAATTTAATTATGTCCTGGTATATGATTGGCTCTTAAAGAGCACTTAATATAGTTCATTTAAATAAATACACATTATTCATAATTATGGTATAACAGCAACTTTACCTTCTCATTTTTGATCATTGAGACAAACTTTGGTCTACCCTCGTCCAAAGTAAGACAAAATCTTTAGTGATTTAGAATCAGTGATCCATTTGTAATTTAAAAATCTAATCTTACACTCTAACAT